CGTGTAGGGTACCGCCCTTTGGTAACCCAAAGAAGCCGTCGTGGGAGACTTTCGTCGTATGCTTTCTTCGTTGCCTCCAAACTTGGTGTTGTTGATGTTATTACTTCTGCTTCTCGTCATTATCGTTGAAGGGCTTTGCAATTTTCCATTCAATTTGTTTGGTAGGCTAGACTCCTTTACATCACACACACACACAATATATATATATATACATAATATATATATTAGAGATATATTACACAAATATATTTAGAGAAACACACACGTGTATATTGATTCTATTGAGAAATTGTGATTTGAGAATACGTGCGACGTACCAAGAAAAGTACGGTGGCGCAGTGCTTGAGGACCTCTAGATTCATCCGAACATCATCGAGACTCCTGCGTATATATATTCACATAGTTATAAATTCGTATATTATATGCAAACACATGCACAATTACACATGCTTTAAGAGATGCGTGTGTGATTATGATCGATGCATGCATGCATGGATCATGGATGTACGTATACCTACCTATGCTTTTGTTCTCCAAGACCGAAATAGGCAGCCAAACTTGCCATCTAAAACATGAACGAGTAAAAACTTGTTAGAGTATACGTATGAATTTGATTTATTCCATACGTTTTTTTTGTGAATATACGGTCGGAATTAATTATGGTGCATACCTTCATGTTACCAGCTCTTCTTCCGAACTTTTTGGATAAAATCCCAAGAGAATCAATGATCCCCGCAGGCTCAGGAGCTGGCTTCCCGATCTGTCGGAAAGCGTCTTTGATTCTGACACAATCGAATCTCCTGATGTTGTGTCCTGCCCAAATCCGACCGTTCAACACAGCGTAGATCTTGTCAGCCACTTCCTCGAAACTCGGGGCCTCCATTACCGTACCTCTCGTGATTCCACCGGACCTAGACGACCTCAAGGAGACCACGGCCAAGTCCTTGGGTCGTACGAGAGTGCTGAAGCTCTCGAGTTCTATAAGTTTCCTCGGACAGACAACGATGGCTCCAAACTCGAGGATGTGAAAATGCTGCCCGGGTTTGTTTGGCACGTTCGTTTCTAGATCGAAGAAGACGATCTCGTTGTCGTCGGTAAGTTCCTGGATTTCCATCGTTTTTTTAAGTGATTTTAGAGGTCGGTTTTCGGGTTTTTGTCGTCTTGATCTCGTTGGTTGGTAAGAGTATATAACGTAAACGGGAGAGGGAGGTGGGTTTGCCTTATGGTGCAAGTCTATGAGCAAAGTCTGAAGGGTAAAGAACCAACTTCTTTTCCTTATCCAAACAAGAAGATACCTTTAGGGGGATTTCCTTTGTATATTCATATCCAAGAGAATTTATTCCTCTGATTTCCTGATTAGGTTACAGGTGTTATGTTTTCCGCAAAATGACAGGAAAAGCAAAGATCACATCACACGGAATCTTCGATTTTCAACCCTAATGAATGAAAAGTACAACAAAGCATAGGAGGGGGGGATAAGATTACTTGAACTACAAGGAAAGGAACAACAGTCAAGAAAGGATTGCTTCTTGAGATTGGCACGGGTTTTTTTCGGAGATTTTATGGATGGACTGAGGCCGTGGCTCGGAGGGGAAGGAGGGCTTTCTTGATCCTCTCCACCGCGGCTTGTAGGTTGTTCAGAGATGTCGCGTATGAAATACGGATACAGCTATCGTCTCCAAAAGCATCGCCAGGAACCATTGCAACCTTCAAACCCCAAACCCACAACTTATCAACTTTTTTTTCCGACAAAGACTGAAGCTTTAATCGGTGGTGATTGTAGATTGTTAGTATTTGTGGCTCAAATTATGTTTAGAAGACTTTGCATGTACTTTATATTATATGGTTTATGTGTATTAGTTGGTTTTATGTTACGTATTGTTGTGTTTGTTTTATAAGAAAAAAACTAACAGTGGTATCAGAGCATTTTGAGATCTTTTTGGGCTTGTGGTGAGAGTTGTCTGAGATTTTTATGGAAGTTTTAAATGTAGTTTAATGTTTTAGTGGGTGAGTAACTGTTTGCACAGTTACATTTCGTGTCTTATATGTATATGTACATTATGTTGCAGAAAATTTACAGAGAGTTGCAGTTTGTTTATTATTGTTCTCTTTGTCTTTTATGTGTGAGTATTTTTGTGTATTCAAAGGAGAGGGAGAGAGAATCTCTCTGAGAGGAATACGCCAAAGACAAGGGTGTGATAATGTATTTGTGTGGGTCATATGTGAGTGTATTGATTAGTGTATTTGTACGTGTTGTTGTGTTTGTTTTATAAGAAAAAAACTAACAGTGGTATCAGAGCATTTTGAGATCTTTTTGGGCTTGTGGTGAGAGTTGTCTGAGATTTTTATGGAAGTTTTAAATGTAGTTTAATGTTTTAGTGGGTGAGTAACTGTTTGCACAGTTACATTTCGTGTCTTATATGTATATGTACATTATGTTGCAGAAAATTTACAGAGAGTTGCAGTTTGTTTATTATTGTTCTCTTTGTCTTTTATGTGTGAGTATTTTTGTGTATTCAAAGGAGAGGGAGAGAGAATCTCTCTGAGAGGAATACGCCAAAGACAAGGGTGTGATAATGTATTTGTGTGGGTCATATGTGAGTGTATTGATTAGTGTATTTGTACGTGTTGTTGTGTTTGTTTTATAAGAAAAAAACTAACAGTGGTATCAGAGCATTTTGAGATCTTTTTGGGCTTGTGGTGAGAGTTGTCTGAGATTTTTATGGAAGTTTTAAATGTAGTTTAATGTTTTAGTGGGTGAGTAACTGTTTGCACAGTTACATTTCGTGTCTTATATGTATATGTACATTATGTTGCAGAAAATTTACAGAGAGTTGCAGTTTGTTTATTATTGTTCTCTTTGTCTTTTATGTGTGAGTATTTTTGTGTATTCAAAGGAGAGGGAGAGAGAATCTCTCTGAGAGGAATACGCCAAAGACAAGGGTGTGATAATGTATTTGTGTGGGTCATATGTGAGTGTATTGATTAGTGTATTTGTACGTGTTCTTGTGTTTGTTTTATAAGAAAAAAACTAACAGTGGTATCAGAGCATTTTGAGATCTTTTTGGGCTTGTGGTGAGAGTTGTCTGAGATTTTTATGGAAGTTTTAAATGTAGTTTAATGTTTTAGTGGGTGAGTAACTGTTTGCACAGTTACATTTCGTGTCTTATATGTATATGTACATTATGTTGCAGAAAATTTACAGAGAGTTGCAGTTTGTTTATTATTGTTCTCTTTGTCTTTTATGTGTGAGTATTTTTGTGTATTCAAAGGAGAGGGAGAGAGAATCTCTCTGAGAGGAATACGCCAAAGACAAGGGTGTGATAATGTATTTGTGTGGGTCATATGTGAGTGTATTGATTAGTGTATTTGTACGTGTTCTTGTGTTTGTTTTATAAGAAAAAAACTAACATAGATTCGCCAAAAACATTTTTTAAGATCATGTCCCAAAAAGGATTAGACAATTCAAGATTTCCTTGTACCATTTGAGAAAGTGGGGGAAAAAACAAGAGAAAATAGCCTTTTCAAGAACATTATTCAGCAAAGTAAGAATCATTTTCAGTATATAGTTACCTGAGCCTTGTCAAGGAAGTATAAGCACAGAGACTCAGAGTTGTTGATTACACCAAAACCTTCGGCCTCTGCTCCGTAGTAAGAACTGAAGTCGACAAAGAGATAAAAAGCTCCCTGCAAGAAACAGTAACCCGTGTAAATTAAGGCATTGCAGAGATATGAACGAGGGGACAGAAAATCTATTAGCTACCCGAGGGTCACAGATCTTAACGCCCTCTAATTCTCCGAGACTTTTGACCAAGAAATCTCGTCTCTCTCTATACGCTTCAACCATCTTTGCTACTGTTTCACCCCCGGCTTTGCCCATCCCTAGTGCAGCAAGACCTGCTTTCTGAGAAATGCTACTCGCTCCTGAAGTAAGCTGGCAGACACCAACACCAGTATCATCAGTCTATAATCACAACTCAATTTACCAAGTAAAATATATATATATATATGTTCTTTTATTGTTCTAAAACGACTTCCCGACAAAATTGAAGGAACTTTATACGAGTAGAGAGAGATGAAGGTAGAGCTAATTATGTATTGCAAGCGCAAGGCATTTAACGGTATTGTACTAAATCTGCTTTTCGTGCATCCAGATATATGATTTCTTCCTCTTTTCAGAGATAAATGAATCATAAAAATGCTGAAAAGAAGACAAAAGGTGAAAACTTGGAGAGCTAAAGACGTTACCTGGCCTTGTAATTTACTGCAAGCAGCAACAAAGTGTTTGGGACCAGCAATATACCCAAGACGCCAACCAGTCATAGCAAAAGCCTGCACAAGTCATATCAGGCAAACGGATCAAGCCTTCGACTTAAGGAAAAAAACAGTTATACTCAGAAGTGTGCTTGATTTTATCGACTATATCAAAAGCATTTGCGATAAGCCTACCTTGGAAAAACCGTTTATTGTCAAAGTTCTTTCGTACATGCCTGGCAGAGATGCAAAGCTTGTGTGTGTGGCCGGAGCATAAATTATGTGCTCATATATTTCATCAGAAATCACCTGGATTGAATGCGGATGACTTAGAAAATTAGCTTAGCAAAAATACATTACGAGATCGAGTTGTGTCCAAATACCAGAAGTCTAGGATGCTTAGCAACAATTCGAGCAATATCTTCAAGCAATTTCCTTGGATAAACAGCTCCAGTTGGGTTGGAAGGAGAACAGAGAATCAGAAGTCTAGATTTGTCAGTCAATTTAGACTCGAGATCCTTTGGATCCAGCAAGAAGTTATCAGAAATCCGCGTAGGAATAACCACAGGTGTTGCATCGGCCAATCTAGCCATTTCAGGGTAACTAACCCAATATGGTGCAGGAATTATAACCTGGAAAAAAAAAGATTTTGTTAACTCGAAAACCTTTTTCTCAGTTGTAAGGCACTCATGCTGTCACTTAGGGAGGTGATTGCTTCAATAAGACAGTAAAAAAAATCCATTTACCATAATTCCGGATCAAAAAATTTATTACGGAAAAAATGTATCCATCTTGTCGATAACAGATTACCTCATCTCCAGGAGAACAAACTGCAAGTACTGCTTGAATGATGCTCTGTTTAGCTCCATTGCTAACCAAAATTTGATTTGGTGCATAAGATAGCCCATTTTCCTCTGCAAGCCGGAGATGACAATAAAGCATTTAACACCGACCAAAACAAGAACGAGACACAGCAACACAATTCCACATGTAGTGAATCAACACTTACCTTTCAACTTCCGACATATCGCTTCACGAAGTTCTGTAGTACCTGCATTTAGCGTATACCTAGTGTGACCTTCCCGGATTGCAGTAATCCCGGCCTATGAATCAACAAAAGAATCAACCAGAATCAGGCAAATCATAATAGAAACAACTAAAAGGAACATACAGAAAACGGGCAGGCCAGTTAAGAAATGTAAAGACATATGACCTCGGAGATAACAGCCGGTGTGTCGAAGTCAGGCTCTCCTGCAGCTAGCGGGATAACTGGAACACCAGCTTGGACAAGAGTGGCTGCCTGGTCGGATATAGCCATAGTCTTCGACGGCTTCAGAGAATCAACACGCGGGCTAAGAGAGACATCTAGTTCCGGTTGGAAATTCTCGGTATCATCTGGTTTCGATATGGCTCTAATTCTCAATGAAATTGTCCCTCTCGCCTTACAGTTCCTACACCAAATTCAGCAGCAAAATGCCATTTCTCAGAGGAGTAATTACCATGAACATGGCTACATAATTGTTGCATCATCGACAAATGAACCTAGACCTAGCAAATGCGGAACCGATTTCAACTAGACAGCTTACCTAACACTCCTAATCGGCGACATTAGCACAAATGAAGCAACATAATAGTGGAAGAATCTAAACGGAATTGAAATTTATTACAAATATCTTAACCTTACAATCGTAAGAACAACAAAAATGTTATTTCTGGAATGATTCAACAAAAACCCCAAGCCACATTAACGGGAGAAACAAAGAGGTCAGATTCCAACACAACTGGGAAACAGATCGTAGAATCACTTCAAGCTTCAAATTGTCCCGTTGCAACGATTTAACAACAAAAATTATCCGACCAAACACGAAACTCAAATCGATGACAAGAGAGAAGGAGATGAAGCTCACGAGAGGGAGAGACGACGGGGTAGGTGAGACCGGAGACAAATGGATCCGACGCGCTTCGGATCGGAGCAGGGATCGCCGCTGCGACCGGCGGAGAAGGCATATCCACCGGAGAAGACGGCGGAGGAGCTCTGAGCCGCCATTGCAGGGTGGTAGGTGAAGAGAAATACGGGTTTGGTATGGGTTTCTGGATTCGGGTTTATATAGGGAACGGTACGGTTGGTTGGTGATGATGTTGATTACTGTATACAAATTACAAACAATATAATCAAGCCACTGGAAAAATATTATATATAAACAACAAGATTTTTAATTTGGCAAAAGGTGGTAGCTTTTTTTTTTTTTTTTTTTTGCAATAAGGTTGGAGGAGTTGGTGTAACTAATGGATTATATAAGAAAAACCCACCAACCCATTTAATTTCTTTATTAATAAATTTTATTCAAACCAGAATTTATTATCAATCCGCTTGTTATTTGTAACTTTTAAGATAAATTATGTATATTTTTTGCGTTGCATATAGAATCCTCGATTTCAGATTTGATTACATACACGCCTCTCCATTTGAACACATTTCTAATAAAATCTTGTGCCCTTTGTATGTCACTTTCTTCTGTCTGAATCTAAAGGATGATTTCAAATAAAATCTTTTTATATGTATTGTTTTCTAACAAAGAGGTCAAAAATGAAATACAAGATTTCAGAAAGTGTACAAAGCTGCTAAAGTGTTGGGTGAGACAAGGAAGAGTTTCCTACGGCCATTACTGGTGAGTTGAAGCTCGCAACTCGCCAGTGAAACCACCGGCCAAAACTGAACAAATCGCCGGGCCGAATCCGAGAAACCCTGTGTTGATACTCATGCCGGGAAGACCAAAATCGATTTTCTATCGAGCCCCGAGGTTGAAGTCCTCCAGGTATGGGAACCCATCTTCAAAGAATGAGCTTTGCTCATCTGAAAACTCTGCATTTGAACACTAGAGATGTGAAATGAGGCAGTAGCTAAGTATTTGGTTCATGCCTTGCAATATTGTTTCATGGGTTTCCTTCCTTGTAGCTTAGAAAGTAAACTAGTATGAGGTGAATCTCCATTATTCTCATGGACCAAAAAGATTTGGCTAGAGAAGGGAGCAAAACACTGAGCACACTTTTGGACACAATTCAGGAAACGGGCTTGACTCGGATGAGTTCCCAACACAAGTTTTCCCTTCAGAAACTACCGACCTTTACATCCTTCGAAAAGATGGTGCCTTTGCACATCTACTTTCCTTTCATGACCCTTAGGACTTGCAAAGTTATCTATCCAAGTCATTATACCATTGCTATGCTATTCGAGTATATGTAAAAACTAGAAAAAGGATCGAAGAAGAGAGAATGACATATACCTCAAACCCTGGTGCAAGATGAATCAAAGTCATCGGGAGCGACACGGGCAATCCAATTGTTCAGCGTTCGCTTGATATCGGTGTGATTAACATAGGCCAGCTCGTACATACTGCATAAGTTCACCACCAAGCTCTCGTTCAAAGCCACAGTCGGCACTCTCTCTAATGCGTTCTCCAGAACCTTGATCGCATCTGAAAGATCTCTCAGATACATCAAACAAAGGGCCTTGTTGTTGATGGCAACAACATCCGAATTATCTTGTTCCATGCATTCTTCATACTCCCTCACAGCCGAAACATAGTCCTTCCCCACCAGATAGATTAAAGCCTTGTTCCTACCCACAAGGTTTTTGAACTCTATCTCATTGAGTAAGTCATTGTTCTTTCCTTCATTCATCATCTTCTCGACCCGATCAAACGTGCATTTCGCTCCTTCTATGTCACCAAACTGCATTTGAACGTATCCTAGTTTCGAGATCAAAACCGGATCCAATGGATTGCGATTAAGCAGTTCCTTTATCAATTCCATGGAAACACCAAATTCCTTGTGACCTAAATGGAGTCCTAGCAAACAACTCATCACAAAAACTTCCCTTCTCTTCCATACATCCACAGACGCATCCAGGTTTTTGGATTCTTTCTCTCTGATTCTCTCTCGAACGAAATCCAGTAAAATGTACAACCGATCTAACCCTTCCTGGCGATTATCGAGCTTGGTCGGAATCAAAGCATAAAGCCACCGGAGAGAGAAAGGAACCATGGATCCTGCCCGATCCGGATAAATCTCCGGGTAGGATTCGTACCTGTAATGCGAGCCATCGAAATCGTGCAATGAATCGAGCTCCTGAGCAGCATCGGCGGAGCGACGAAGCTTCGTGAGAGCCAAAACCTGGAAAGTGAGATAGGTGAGATGCTCGTGGGGCTTGGAGAGGAGCGAAGAGGCTCTGGCTCGAGCCACCTTGTCGAGAATGGCTTGCCACGAGCCTCGGGTGGCGAGTTCGTGGAGTGAATCCAGATCGTGAGTCAATTCATCGAGCGGGCCCGATCGATCCGGCGGCGTATCGGATACGGCCATGACAACCGACGCGTCTGATCCCGAGGTGGTCGCCTCAGCACCGGCGCCGATGGACTCGGCCATGGCGGTTTCGTCGGAGCCGGAACCGGCGGTTTCAGAGGGGGCGAGGTCGGGTTCTTTAAAATCCGGGTCCATTGTTCGGCGGCCTGATATATGGTTAAACGTGGGATAGAGGCATTTTATTTTATTTCCCTAATTATATCCTTTTTCTCAGTAAAAAAATTCTGATTAATTTTAATTTCTCTAAAAGACAAATAAATGATAAATTGCGGTTTTATTTTGATTTTTCAGAATACTATTAAGATACAGTCTGTCACGCTCAATTTTAAAAATGAAATCGCTAATAGAAAAAATGTTTTGTGCAAACTATACAAACTAAATAATATTCCCTCCGGGGAGTCCCCAACCTAGTGGTTAATGACAATTCCCTCTACCATGAGGTTGTGGGTTCGAATCTCAGGTATGGTACTCCCCTTGAGCCGGTCAGCTTTACGAAGCTGGTTTACCTGCTCTGCGTGGTTTGCCGGCTACTGCGTAGAGCGGTGGGTTTTCTCAGGTCCGCGATGCTGTCCTGATGCCGTTCTCGTCCGGCCTATGGGCTGAGAGGCATTGCGGTGTCCGGTGTCCGACCCGAAGGGTTGTAGGATAGGGGTTTCCCATCGTACCACAAAAAAAAAAAAAAACTCCCTCCGTTTAATTTTACATGACGTTTTGGAGTCATTTTTTATTTCAAAATAAATGACGTATTTTTTGATATTTTTTCTGAAATTATCCTTCATTAATAAAGACATCATAATTAGAAAGGGATATTTTAGACAAAAAAAAATTATTTTTTATTAGTATTTAATTTTAATATGGTTATTCCTATTAAATATAAAATTTCTTAAGATGATTTCGTATTTTTATTAAATGGGCCATCGAGTTTGAAAGTCCAATATTGTTATTTCTATTAAATATTAATTTTCTTAAGATAATTTCGTAATTTTTATTAAATGGGCCAAACCAGGCCCATTCCATTGAGCATCACGTGCTTAAGATCATGGGTTTCAGCAAAAGAGCATCACATGTTAAATTATCTTGTCCTTTTTTTCTGTATTATTATGCATTCACAAGATTAAAGTAACGATTTAAAATCAAACAGTCGATTAAATTCATCATGATGAGAGATGTTTAAATTCCTAAATGATATTATTATTATTATTATATAACTACTAGCAAAATAATGTATAAAATAATAATAATAATAATAATAAATGGTGGACAAAAAAGTCAAATATTGCAACCCTCGTGATCTAAAGTCCACATTTCGGAAACTAATCTGGTAAGTCAAAGACCTTAGTCACTCGTTAGATCCAACGTCTTATATTAATGTATTGTTTTTTAAAAGAATTTTGATGGAGTTTTTTCGGGTGTTGCCAAAACTGTCTCAAATTACCCAACAGTTGGTGGCCCAGTGGGTGAGAGGTGACAAAGTCATCCTCGAGGTCATGGGTTGGATTCCACTTGCGGGGAGAGATGTAATTTATGGATCAAAATGGTCCATATACAAAGGGTGGTACCTGACCTAGGGTGGATATAGTCGGATCGAAGGCCCGGAGAACCATCCTGGTTATAAAAAAAAAAAAAACTAACGGTCTCAAATTCTGTCTTAATTACAGAAATGAGAACGTAATAATTTCCTTTCATGTTTTGGTATGTAATCGCTCTATATATAAATAAAATATATATTATAGGAAATCGAATTATCCTAGCCATAACCTTCAAATAATTATTCACATCTCATGTGCCATAACAGTGGAGAGGGACCAAAATAAGTGGTAGGCGCCCGAACAACAAACAAGTTAAAATACCACTTAGCATCACATACATTTGCCTAATCTTATGTTAATATAATAAAATTAAAACCCTTGCTATATGTAAATTAGATCAATCAATTACCCTCGCATATATATAACTTTAAATTCCAAATTTATACTAACTATCCGTAATTCTCTCACGTCTATTTTCCTAACATTCTTATTAACAAAAATCTATTATTTTGCTATAGATAGTATACATTAAAATGCAATTTCCTTCCAATAAACTATATGCTAATTAACAGGTATATATTATTTCTATAATTGTTATTTGAATAAAGATTTTTCACATTACTGTACGTAAAATGATAAAAATCTCTAAGGATCGCAATTGGAAAATGTGAACTTTAAATTTCGTTTTAATATAGTTTCAAAGCAAATGAGGTCAAAGCAGACACGGAAATGGAGGACTCACTGGTCCATTTGGACAGTCTAAGAGTCTTCGTGACACGTCAGCTTAACGACGTTGATTAAGACATGTTGGGGTATTAATTTAAGTAAGATTCCACTTAACGTTGATTTCCAATACAATTAAATTAAATAAATACATAATATAATAACAATGGGGTTAAGAGAAATGGTTACAGTTTACCAACTCCAATTATAAGGTCTTTTTGGTTTTGTAATTAAAAAAAAAGATGTGACATTTTAACGTTGGAAATCCAATATATATCAGATTAGAACATATATAAAATTGATGTGTGAAGTTAACAAATGAATTCAGAAAATTTTGTAATCAGGGTATGGTTAAAAATAATATATATAGATGGATATACCCTTATCATTTTTATTATTAATATTTATATAAAATAATGGAAAATAACATAATATATTATATTCACCCGAATCAAATACTTTGTAACTTTACGAATAGTGGTTGACTTAACTGGTAAATGAGTATGCGCAAAGAGTGTTTCACTCTAAATTCGAACCTCTCTTGATAAATCATATATTATAAAAAAAATACTTTGTAACTTTCAAGATGCATCGATCCCTAAATGAAATTTAAATTGCTGTATCTCAAACAAATACTAATTTGGTAAAAGCCAAAGAATCTTACAATATAAGGGGGCAATTGAAAACGAGTAACAAAAGGAAGAAAGAAAAAAAAGATATGTCGTTTTTGTGTCCATGTGACTGATCTACTAACCCTTTTTATTCTTTCTTTTATTATCTATTTTAGATTTTTTTTTAAATGCGATGGATAATATTTTAATGGACATATTTATCATTCGTTGTCGGAATTATGAAAACGTAAAATCACAAATTTTGTCAAAGACTATATAACAAGAATATCTTTAACAATGTATATGGTTGATACAATGAGATTTCATATGGTAGAACAATTGGAGTTATTATGTAAACATTATTCTTGATTAAATGAAGAATATAATTAAGCCATATTAATATCCGATCATCATTTCGTACTAAACCCAATATTAATATGCAGCATTGACATGGAAAGATAGAATCTGCAGATGGCGGTGGGTCGAATAGTGATGAACATTATTGATATTATCAATGACTTGTTTCTCTGCTATTCCCATTTCCCTTTCACACTAACATAATACACACGTGTATACGTATAGACGCACGCGTATATATACATACATATACGCACAGTGTCAGTCCTGCCACCTCTCTCTCTCTCTCTCTCTCTCTCATGGATTACGGATCTATATAATAAACATGCTTGCGAAACTCTCTCGCTAGATCTGTCTGAGCAGTGAGAATACTAGGTGTCAGAGAGATGACAATGGCTCCACTCTCGTACTTGAGTTTCAGGAAGGTGCTTTTGCTGTATCTTATTCTTTTCCTCTTCGCTTGTTCTTGCTCTATCCGTTTTGTCTCGTCGGAAACTTCTGCCGGCGAGTTTCGAACCGATCAACGTTCACGGATCAGAAGATTGTTGGGGAAAGATGTTGAGTTCGGCGAGGGTGGGATTGAGGCTGTCTCTCCCAAGAAGAACCAGACAAAGCTCCTCAAACAGATGTCTTCTTCGGCCAAGAACCAGACCAAGCTCATCAAATCTTCTGACGCGACCAAGGGCTCTGAGCTCAAGAAGCTCACTTCCGGCCCCAAACCCGGCAATTCCACCAAACCCATCAAGAAATCGTCAGATCTGTCCAAATTAAGCTCGCCCAAAAACAAAACCTCGTCAAAAAGTTCCCAGCTTTCCGCTCAGAAAACCACGCCCTCTTCGGAAAAACCCGACAAAACCGAAAAACCCACGAGCAAGAAGAAAGAGATCAAGCCCTTTTGGCTGGACGACGAGGAAGACGATGACTTGGTCAACGAATTCAGAGATCTACCCACGAAGTTCCAGCGATCACTCATCCCGGACCTCGAACGAATCTCCAGCACGTCCAAAATCTACATCACCAAGGCAAACAAGGAGATGACGAGGAATTTCAAACCCTTCTTCGGAACCAAATACGCGCCCACGATCGCAACAGCAGTCTCCTTCATTTTCATCTTAGTCCCTCTACTTTTAGTTTCTCTCATCTTCAACCGGTTCAAAGCATATTTCTCTCTCCAGAAGATCTTGATCTTCGTCCAGGTCTACCTATCAATCTACTTCTCGATCCTTTGCCTATCGTCCATCGTCACTGGCCTCGAACCGCTCAAATTCTTCTACGCTACCTCGCGTTCTACGTACGTATGGCTACAGATTATGCAGACCCTCGGCTACGCGATGTACCTGCTGCTCCTGCTCATGTACCTGGTCTTGGTGTTCTACACAGAATGTGGACTGAGCCTTAGATTATTGGGCCTGGCCCAATTTTTCGTGGGCTTTGCCGTTGGGCTTCATTATTACATGGCGGTGTTTCATAGGGTGGTGCTCCGACAGCCGCCGAAGACGAACTGGAAGGTTCATGGGATCTACGCCACGTGTTTCCTTCTGATTTGTCTGTTCTCTAGGGCAGAGAGGAGGAAGAAGGAGTACGTGGAGGATGGTGGAGGAGAAGGCAAGAAAAATTGATTTTTCTTTTTTCTTTTTTGTTCCCTTTTTCTTTCTATATTAATTTCAGTAATTTGTCAAAATGCGGTCGAAGAACGAATTACATCAATTAATTGTATTTATTTACGGATACGTTCTGAATAAAATCTCTCCTTATATATATATATATATATATAGTTAAAATCTCCTTATATATATTTAAACCATGAATGTAAATATTGTATCATTTTAACGAATTAATATCCAATATCTTAGTTGCAAAAACGTAACTACGTATTACAATTGTTGGCTAACGTTGTCAATCATGATGACTAATGACCTGACCATACAAGATTGCATAAATTAATAAACTAAATACATTGCAATTGTGCCCTACATTGGATATATCAGGACGATTTTTTTATTCAGTTAATGTAAATTCCAATTAATCTATGATATACAAAAAAAAACGTTGTATAATTTTATCTGGTTAATGCACTTTTTTAATGCGTATGATAAAATAATTTAAATTTTATTTGGTAAGATAATATGAAACTAACTTGATATTTTTTTTTCACATGTATTAATTTCTTTTTTTCGCGGTTATTTCTAAATAATATTATATGCTTTCCGCTAATTTCTCCATATACGAGGAGTAGGAGTCGAATCCAGCAAAAAGACGAAAAGGGTATTCCATATTGTGTTGGATTTCCCCCCTAATGGTACCACAATGTTCATACAAATTTTATCTTTTGTAGAATATGTTGATATCCCATGACAATAGCTTTTTGTACTTACACAATATAGATACCATTTCAGTGTTCGTATATATTCCCCTATTGCTATCAGTTTTTGTTTGTTACATGTAATTATAATTTCATCATTTTTCATTTTGAATCGTGTGTTTTGTTTGTATTCGTTATTATTTGTTCTTATTTATATAAATCTTGGACCAATTAGTTAGAAAATTTTTGGGACCAATTTGTTTATCAATTAAAAAAAACAAGAAGAGAAAAATGAAGGGGCCAATATTGGAAAGTAATCATGCAAAGCATGCTCTCATCCTGGGTTCAAACTCAAGCGTGGGGAGAGGCATTCACATGGGCTTCCCCGGTCCTCTGGGAGATGTAGTCGGGCCAAAGACCCGGTGAACTTCCGGATTATCAAAAAAAAAAAATGGAAAGTGACTGGGATATATAGAGGTTTACGTGCATGGCAACAATAAAAATAAATCAAATAGCATTATTAGTCAAATGAGATTGCGCTTATATTGCAGAGACACAAATACTGTTTTCTAATACATGCAATACATATATATATATATATTTATATTCGCAGTAAGTATATAGAATGTCCACCTACAAAAAGTCCACGAATCTTTTTTCCAAAAATTTGTTCCATCTTCCGGTATATCCTATATATGTGATTATGTATCGCCTTGGGACAATAATTATAATTACAAATTATATTACAATAGGTAAATTAGATATAACACAAAACAATATCTATATAGCCCCATAACCTAACAAATGCTCCTCGCAAGCCAAAAGCCCTTGGACTATTAGGGTTATGGTTTGATTAGAACTGCGTGGGGTCCGCGGCATGAACGGAGGGTATTTTAGTCATTTAGGCATCTGCCGACGGGCTCGGGATTGCGTTTGTGTCGGTGGATCCACGAGTTTTACGGAACGACCGCGACGCTGTTCACTTTTAAGTGTCGTCTCCTTGTCCGACCCTCGGAAACTATGCAAGTTCGATATTTATTTTTATCGCTTACGTGGTCGGTAAAAATGTCCACGTGGCGTACGATGGGGAGTTTCACGGTGAAACCTGGCAATCTGGGCCGTTCATTTTTTCAACCCCCTATCCACGACGTTACGGTTCTAAGCGGATTATGAATTTATGATGAGGGGTTTCAATTTATATTAGTTGCCGAATATATATTTTTTCAAGCCGTATTGGTTTCATGTTGTACTTATTGAAATTGATTAACATTTGAATATATAAAAAATGATCCCATTCCCAATCAAATAAATTTTTCGGGGGGAAAGGGCTTTCATTCTCGGATAAAATAATTGACGTAACTACAAGTCTACTGAAAGTATTCCCGATCCTCTGAGAGATGTAGTCGGGTGAAAGGCTCAGTGAACTTCCGGATTATCAAAAAAAAAAAGTTTACTGAAAGTACGAATTCATAACAGACAAAACTATAAATATCTATCCACATCTCACTTCTGTATATAATAATAATAATAATAATAATAATAATAATAATAATAATAATAATAATAATCACCTATCGTCTTCTTAGATCTCACATCACATGCATGTGATGGAGGAGGGGACAAAAACCTCCACGTTTTGTTCGTTTATTTGAGTTTCGAGTTTTTATATGCGATATTGTAATGATCGGTTGCATTGCATGGTCCGATGGTTCAGAAATATTATTGATACTATATAATAATGTATTTAAACGATAAAAAAAAATATTAGTATAAAATATTAGGTTAAGGATTTTTGTTATTCAAAATTCAGTGAAGAAAATAGTTGACATGTGTGTGTATATATATATATATATATTACGTGTATACGTATCTAGTCATGAATTTGAGTAGATGTTATACGGGCTTTTCCTTGACGATCAATTTTGGTGAGAAGAAAGCCCACATTTATCGCTAACTTGGGCTTCGTATGAATTGTAAGGCTCATTTATTATGTGTTATTTGAGTTTGGTCTAACGTTTTTAATCCGAAAGCCCACATTACATATATAAAATATTATCGGTTTCGAGTGCTTTTTTTTTGTTATAAGAATGATATTTATTTTATTTTACTAAAAATGGGTATTCCGTATTCGATCGTGACTAAAATATGCATGGCTTTGTGTAAAATGGTATACATATAAAAGGTAATATGATTTTTTATATGATGTAATATGTTGTCGTTATAAGGAAGTCCAATATGATCATGTAATAAAACTAAATGGGTCAGTGCATAGATATGTGTGCTCCAACAAGGCACGGTCCAATTTTCATTTTCCATTATCGTAGAGAAGTCTTATACTTGTAAACTCACGTAATTGTATAATGAAATAAAAATGAGGAAAAATCCACCTAATTGTTATATTATTTATGAAAAATAGGCGAATTATATAAAATTATTTATATAATAAAAAAAACCCATGCATACAAAAGACTATATCCACAATAATATAGTAGCCTAAATTCTCGAATTACAACAACAAATAAATATATTTTTTGTTAAAGCCAACAAATAAATATTTTTAGTACCCTTTTAATCTATACTAAATTTAAAGCATCTTAAATAGAATTTTCTGAAAATGGTTTCTTCTTGGTATCAAGAGTAAACTAGTATTCATATATATATATATATATGGTAAGACTTTTTGTTTGAAAGATAACATATGTTTCATCGAACCCCATGATTTTGTCATTTTAAATATTATTTTCTTATTAAATTTAGGTTAGCACTAATGATACCTTTGGATATATATATATATATATCGAAAATCCCTAACAATTTTGTTTGAACATGGATTATAGAGTTTTCATGGAACTTATGTCATTTGAATTTTTGAATTCGTTTTTCAAACACAACCACCAATCATGTTAATTATATCAATAATAGACCAACTACAAAAATTAATTGAAATTGACAAACAACAAAATCTAATAAATATACATATACATATATATATATATATATATCTTATTTTAACACAATTACATTTCATACTTTATGACTCAATATTTCTTAAATTGTCTAACTATATGATATTTAACTACGAATAACCTCAATTTTTTTTATAATCCGCAAGTTCACCGGATCTTTGGCCCGACTATATCTACCAGAGAACCGGAAAAGCCCATATGAATGCCCCTCTCCACGTTTGGGTTTGAACCCAGGATAAGAATATGCTTTGCATGTTCTCTCACCATTAGACCACCCAAGTTTGGGTCGAATAACCTCAAAATACATATGATTCCAAAATACATCCAATGCATAACCTCAAAATTTCATTATTTGTAATTGAAGAAAATAAGTAAAAAAAAACTTTCAAATGTAGTTGGAATTCTATAGTTAAGTTATTATGTCTTAATCATCATTCAATTTTCACCTTTGACCAGATTTAGGAAAAGGAAAGTGAAATTAACGCCATATTTTAACCAACCATATATTCTAATATATAATCTGTATGAATATATTATATATAAAAGTCTTTTTGGGTAAACTTTTATTTTTTTTTAATTTGATCATATCAAGATTTGCAAAATAAAATTTTATGTATTATTGACAATTAGAATGAGTTTAAATCGTAGTTTATCCTGGATTCTAACCCAAGCGTGGAGAAGGGTATTCACCTGGGCTTTTTCGTTACTCTGAGAGATGTAGTCGGATATCACACCCGTAAATTTTCGGATTATCAAAAAAAAATCTTATAATAATATAATAAAAATAGATAAATCCAATCTAAATAGGATAGATACTAATATCTAAAATCCATATAAACTTAACTATTCTTAATTCTAAATAGATCATCCAGATACACATCTCTCTCTATCTTTTCTTATTTGATTAATTTTTAACAATTTTTTTAAATTTTTTAAATAAATTTTATTGTGATGCGAAAAAAAAAATGCAAAAAAAAAAAGGGCAAAAAGAAAAATTTTAAACGACACGACTATAAAAGAAATTATAAAATTTCTTTTGGCACGTGCAAATCATCGTCATCTCCCTCTTCCCGAGCTTAGGCACACAAGTCTCTCTCTCTCTCTCTCTCTGTTGCGGCGGTCTGGTGCGTTCTCGGTCGTAACGTATTCCGGCGAGAAAGCGACGGCGTCTTAATTTTCATGAGATAGAATTTGGAAAGCGGAACCTGAGAACTAATTTCGATTCTTCGTGTCGTTCCGAGTTGGGTCGATTTGCACACGCGAAGAAGCGTAAACTGAGAACGAGGGAGGCAGAGAGCGAGAGATTTAGCTTTTTCCGGTCTGAATCGTTCGTGCTGAGGTAATTGACGTGTTTCCCTTTCCTTTTTTTTTGAATCTTTTGCTGTTGATTAGAAATAGAAGAGTCTCGATTCTTCGATTTCAGCTGTTGTGAGATTTGTTCTTTAGCTATGATGCTGTCTTGTCATATGTTAGCAATTTTGTACAAATCGGG